ACTAAAAGTTGAACTAACAAAATGAAAAACAAAGAAAAACAAAAACAGCACACGCCTAAATAACGAATAGACTAAGATCTCCCCTAAATCTTGCACGCAATCCGCATAGCTTTGGTGGCAATTTCGGACGCAGCCTTCGCTTTTGGCTTCTTACTTGCATGGTAAATACTTCCATCGCTTATTACATCAAACCCAGTTCTTTGGTTGCCCTAACCACCCAAATAAGCACACGAGTCACATCCCGTAGCATAGAATCACAATAGAGTTGCAAATTGAAACCCCAAACTCAAAAATTGTAGCCAAACTCAGACCGACTAGACAGATATGGCAATGAGGCGATTCTCAGTCCAGAATTGGGCTCCAATGATCTTCAACACTAGGAGGGGGGAAGCCACTACGAAAAATGATATCAGCAGGACAAATCAACACCGCCAAGACCGAGAACGAGCGCGCAACCACTGGGAGCCTCCAACAGAAAAAGACGATTAGGTGGCCAAGTGGACGACTCCTTGCCGCCCCAAGGCCGGAGGAGAAAAAAAAAATTATTTTTAAAAAAATAAGAATATATCAAATTAGTACTTAAATAAAAAGTACTAAAATTAGCTTAGTAAGAAATTAATTCATAAAAGTTACATTTATGCAAAAACTTAGCAAAACTAATTTTATAAGTTCAAAAATTGAATAGTTGATTTTAAGAATATATAATTTAAATATTATATAGATTGATATCTAAATATTTATTAAAATTAGAAAAAAAAAGTATTTTAAAAAATTATTTTAGTTTTTTTCTAAGCTTCACTATTGATTTTTTGCATTTTATTTTATCTAATTTTTAGACTCAATAGTCAAGCTTAGAAAAAAAAAATAGAATAACACTAAATAATTTATTTTTTAATGTTATTACATAATTAGACTATAAATAAAAATAAATAAGAATGTTATTTATATAATATATTTTCATAACTTTATTCATAAATATTTTTTAGAATAATAATTTTATCTACGAATAATATTTTCAATGATATTAAATAGCAAAAAATGTTTTTTAAAATAGTTTATTTTCTAATTTTATTTCATATTTATATTATCAATTAATATAATATTAAATTATACGTTCTAAAATTTAGCTTTCAATGTTTTTTAATTTTAAAGTAAATTCATATATGTAGCTTAAATAAATTAAGTTTTATACAAAGGTAATTTTACTAATGATAATTATTTATTAAATTTATTTTTAAAATATAAATTTCAGAATAACATTATTTTGGTTTACATAATTATGTAAAAATATAAAGTTAGTTGGGGTCTTAAATTAAAACCCTCAATTGAGAAGATTAAAAATTCAGACCCTAGTGTGACTAGATATGGCCACAGGCCGGCCTGAAATTAGCACGAAACTAGCCCGTAATCAACGGGGTCGGACTTGAGCCCGTAGTTTGACCAACCAATTTCGGGCCTCATTTATATTGAAACTAAAAGCACCTGAGTCACAAAGAAACTAAATAGCCTAGTTCTTCCCGATGACGTTGAGCTCGAGACGGTCCAAAGCATCTTTCACTCTAGTGAGTAAATCCACGGGAGCTTACAGTTCAAGGAAAACGAGGAAAATCAGGTGTAGGCGTACGAAGACGATTTCAATCCTACTCAATGTGAAGAAGATCGACAACCTCAACGGACTCGAACGGCCGCCGCCGCGGGCGGGGGTCAAGCTCAAGGGATGAAAATGAAGGGATTCAAACTTCTTTAATTCCAAGGGATTTTAATTCCTTTAAAATCTTAAGTTATATAATGATATCACATTTTATAAATTTAATCATTAGTGAAAATGAATATAATAATTATAAAATATTTTATTTATATATGATTCACTGTATGAATTGTAAAATGTTATTTTTACAAATTTAAGTGATCGTGATCAACTAATTACTTAGAAAAATATATTATTATTATTATTATTATTATTATTATTATTATTATTATAGCAGTTGTTTACGCGATTTTAAGAGTTGTTTTGCCATAAAATCAATTAGCTATTTACATATATTAAAGAAAAAGATAATGTTAATTATAAAATAAATAGCCCGAAGAGAAAAAGTGTATAAGTTCCATAAACTTTTAAGTATGATTTATAATTATTTAATATTAATATTAAGTATTATATGATAAAATAGTTATATAATATTATTACACTTATTTAATGAAAATTGTAACTGTCGAAAAAAAAAGATGATACATCTCTATCTACTATATATATATAAAGAAGTGTGTGGCTTTTAAATGGTGACAAGTGTCCCATTATGCCATTGTTAAAAATTGACAAGTGTCCAATTTTTATTACATTTTTGCTATTGTTTTTAGAGCTTTGAGAGTGTAGCGTATTATTTACGTTTTGCCACTTCATTTTGGCAAAAATCTGCTTTTGCTATTTTTTTTTTTTTTAACTGGGAGACCGAAACGGCGCCGTTTCGTTGTCCTTCATATAAGCTGCCTTATTTTATGCTGAATGGACGAGATGCACATCTGCCTTCAAAGATGTGTGCTGCCTTACCGGAAAATCTGTGACTGCCAGTGTACGATGCTGCTTGCGTGAGCTGAAGGTTGATTTGATTCCCGTAAAATTCAGTTGACCCCGCCGAAATATCTGATCGTCGTCATCGTCGAGAACTTCAACGGCGAGGCTATTGCATGGTCCGATGGCGTCTTCCCGACTGAAACAAAGGGCTGACAAATTCAGCCGCCACCGCGCCGTCAGCACCCCCACCACCCCTTCTACGGGAGCCCACGTTTCGAGGTGGGAGAATCTGAAAATGTCGTTGCTCAGTAGGGGTGTTCTCGATTCTTCAGTTCCTTGAGGAAGAAAATTTAAAGATTCTGTTTGCAAGTGCGTTTGATGTCCTGCCCTTTTTACCTCTGTTTGTGTGGCTTTTGTGCTTTGAATTTCCCATTTTTTTTGCTCCTTTTTATTTAAGTTACATGAGCTTTTGATGTGTGTTTGTTTGGAAGTGTTTATTAGTTTGTTTTTTATGTGGTGCTTGTGTTTGTTTGGAGATGTTCGAATGAGAGGTACTTTGGAACAACCGAGGAATGTTGTGATCTTTATTGAGTTTTGTTTTGTTGTGTTTCTTGTTGGAAGATGAGATGAGAAAGCAATTACGAGATTGTGAGGTTCGGTTGTTGAAAGTTTGTTTCTTGGTGGTGAAGTAGAACCCTACACTTGACCAATTAAATTGCTGTCAGCACCAGCATCCTTGCTATCCTATGGAATAAGACGATAGAAAGTGGTGAACACACTTCTTCAACAAGCTCCAATTGTTGAATGTTCATATTGGCTGTGAATAACAACTATTTGAAAATACTTTGAGATTGATTTAATGAAAAAAACTAATGGCCTACATTTTAAGTAATTCATGAGCTTTAGCTTGACAGTATTATTGAGTAGTTGTAAATTTCTTTGGGTGGGATGACGTAGGGTGGTCACGGTGGAATTGAGTCTTGAGACCAGTGAACGCCAAAGATAATGAATCATGAGATTTTGGTGTCCTCCGCTTTAGTTTCGATCGTCATATTCCAATAAACGTTGAACCTACTGTGAAGGACGTGGTAGAGATGGTGGTTTGAAAAGTGCTTAGTTTTTTCTAACAAAAATATTAATTTGTGTTTTCTGGTTCTAATTTATTGTCCTTTCTTACACATTTAATCCGTCATGATGTCTTCAGGACTTGCTGCTCGCGACAACAACTTGGATGCTCTCGAACATGTTCTGACTTACCTATGTCCCCGTGGAAATCCCAAGGTCTGAATTTATCTATTTCAATGTTTTCTTTTTCTGTTACGTCTATTTTATCTTATGATTGCGTGTATTTTTTCTTTATCTTGGACCAAGATGGAATTTAGCTTTTCAGGAAGCATTGATGGATCCAGGAGGTCGTTGCGCTTCACTACTGGCATTAAATAAATTTAGTCACCAAACGACCTGAGAGATAAATAATGTGTTCAGGAGTAATTCTATATTTCAATAAGAAGAAATAAATCGTGAAAGAAAAAGAAAAATTGTGGGTCCCACGTAACCCCATTTTGACGTGGTTTGGAATTGGTATAGGTAGAGTTTTATTTTCGAACTAATTTTTCATAACCTCCTCCCCCAGTCACTTGACAGATCTGCCGTCACCAGGTCATCGACAAATGGATCCGTCACTATATATAAATTGAGAAAGGAGGGGCTTATGTGGGACAAGGAGGATGAGATCGGGCGGCTTGCCAAACTGGTCGAGCTCGGGTTTTTACTGGAATTTGGCTCAGCGGCGGTCGAGTTCTTGATGAAGTCGAAGGACCTGCAGATATTTTTAGAGGATGAGGAGTTTCTTTCTTCTGCATTGCCTTCTTGTTAGCTACGTGTTTACATCTCTGAATGTTTAATTTCAAATTTCTTTATACTTTGATTGGCCCGTCTTTTTACTGGTCTGTGAGGGTTAAAACATTGTTGATGTTGTTCTTCTGAACTCTTACCTAGATTTGAAGCTGGATTACTACTCTTACTGGAGATCAGCTCGGATCTGAAAGAGTGGCGGCTGAGGTCGAGCGTGCTATCAAGGATAGTAGGGAGGATTGAGGATTGGTCCTAGGAAAATCTCTATCCCAGGTAGTCGATGCTGCCAATAAAAGTATAAAGAAATTTGAAATTAGGAGAAAACAAGGAGGAGGTAGTCGATGCTGCCAATACGTTATAGAAAAAACTTTCTCTGTCTCTTGCTTTCTCTTTATTTTTTTTATCCACTTCACATTGTCAGAATTCATGTGCGCGTGGCCATATTGGCCGTGAATTTGTCATTTTTTTTCACTTCACATTGTCGAACTCATGTGTGTCGTGGATTGCATAGGGTCAGAGTTTGGAATCCAATATCAAAAGTGGGGAAAAAGACGTTTTTTTTTTTGTGGTTCTCGAAAAATGGAGTGTGTAGCTTGTTTTTGCTGGGCATTTTACTTATCCTATTATCCATTACGTGATATGTTGCTATTGGGCAAACGTTTAACAGGAGGGCGCTCGATAGGGTCATGCAAAATTCAACTCTATCAAGATTTTCTCTCGGATAGGAATTTTCCCAAAACATAACGAGACAAAGTGTAGCTGTATCTCTGCAAGTAGTAATGCAAGAGCCTCTCGACTATCAATGGTCAGGCGTACAAACAAACTGGAATGTAGTTCGCCGACCCCGCAGTGTACCGACAATAGTGAGAATTCGTTTATGTTTCTCATTCAGCTCACTGGAACACTGGAACAGATAATGAGATTTTCCCACTGCCCTTTTCCTGAACATTTGATGATTTTCCAGGCTTACATATACCATACAAGTTCTGCCTAATGTGCTGCCTTCCTTTCGAATCATGATACTAAGAATGCTGTAAAAGTTTTATTCAATAACCATCACTATAAACTACATCCTAAGTCCATCAGCATCCTCGCAAACTGCCATGATATTATTTTCAATACAGCCGTGATATGTAATCATCTTGGTAATTAACAGTTATGGCGAATTGCAAAAATAAGCAAAATACTTAGGATGAAATTTTCCCTATTAATTCTTAGACCTCATTATATAATTTCCAATTTGCTTCAAGAACGCTATGATTATTTGTGCAGCACTGATCAAGCCTTTGAGATTTGAACCTGACCAAAAAAGAAAAAATCTTTCGAGTTACCTAGGAGTTGTTCCCATCGGTTGAGGTCACGGGAGTCCCCTTCAATTACGGCTACGGTGACGGTGTCAGTACCGCTGGATTTCACCAAGGACTGCTTTCTCATTGCCGTTGTTCAGGAAATGAGAGTAAAATTGAGAGTAATAGGTTGGGCGGGGTTTGTTAAAAGGTAGAGAAAAGGTTGGGTAGGGTTTCAAACTTGCTTTCATTTTGGTCTAATCATTTTGTCTAGAGAGCTCATGTTTGTTGTGATGAAATTTGAAGACTTTATGTGTACTCAGCTGAAGATTTCAAGCATTGTTGAAGTTTATTCAACATAAACTTCATTTGTATCAAATTTAGTAACAATGTTTAAAAAATATATATAAATTAGACTGATCATTTCAAGAGACGATAAATTTTCATTATATTTTAGACCAAAATACGATCTGCAACAAGTGATGACAAATTTTCAGTGTATTTTTAGACCGAATTTGAGTCCGCCGTGGGTGCACGGCGTAACCCAACTAGTATATGTATATATAAATCGACGACGTAACCCAACTAGTATATGTATATATAAATCGAAGATTCAAGAACACGGTATACTTACTCCTTATAATTATTCAAGAAAATTAACTCATAATGAACATTGATTCAAAAAGATTGTGTTCGGAAACATGGAAATGGCAACATTGACGATGAACATTCGAACTCAAGACAAAATGTGAAAATTTGATTTCCACAATATATCTATTATATTTCCAAGCGAGCAAAAATCGGCATTCAATGTCAGGGGTGTGTTTGTATATAAAATATCTCAATCCATACTCAAAATCTAAATTAAATTTAACTCAACCTCACTATTTTCAATATATCAATATAATAATATAATATCAACCAGTCATTCTTACACATCATATCAATTTTAGTTTACTATTCATTCACTTACATAATTTTAACTAACTATCACTTCATATTATCTCTCATTCTTTTACATCAAGTCAACTTTAAATATTTCATTTTAAATATAATTTTAATATACAATCAAAATTCCACTGACAATTAACCATACACTTCTTTCAAAATTAACTATGGTTAACTAAAAATATAATTTTAAATGAATATATTCATATACAAACATGCACTTTTTTCAAAATTAACTAAAACTCATTTTAAACAAATATATTTATATACAAACATGCATCGTCTTACTTTTCAATTATTCAACCACAGCCTTAGCCTTTTTGCATTGCAAGTTCAATGTTAGCCATAGCAGATGAGTGGAAACTGGAAAGATTTCAATGTGTGGTGTGTGTGTGAAAGCACGCTGTGATCAAGTATTAGATGGCCACAATTTGGGTTTAACAGTTAAAAAAAGAAGAAACGTCAGAAAAGTTAACCACACCTGTAGTCTGCGGGAACTCAAAGTGAGTTGAAAGGCACAATTATGTTAAAGCACATAATGCTATCTTNCAGTGAGATAAATAACTTGAACCAGTTAACCACAGCAGTTGCTCTTCTGCTCAATCGGCTGCCCCTTAATCTGGACAGTGCTGGCCGATTTCTTGTTTCCACTCGGCTGGTTACCCATCCTGTAATCACACACATGCTCATTTTTAGATACACACGTACACAATAACTGTGAAAAGCACGTGATGGATAGTTAGTTTCAAACGAATAAAAGTTACAAATGAAAATCTGATCATATCCAGATAAACATGACATTCGGTTTGGTTGAAGTCCAAGTCATCCATTTTGCACACTAATTAACAACAACAACAACAACAACAACAACATACCCAGTATATTCCCAACAGGTTGGGGTCTGGAGGGTCAGTTGTACGCAGACCTTACCCTTGTAATTATACAAGGAGGCTGTTTCCGTAGCGACCCAAGGTGCATTGCGCCGTTTGATATATTTTTTTTTTTTTTTTCTAGAAACTTCACTAATAGAAGAAGCACTAGAATTTAATTGAGACATTTTGATCTAGTCCATTATTAGCACTATGCCAGGAGAATTGTCAACAATGACTCTTCCAGCTCCATTTGCACACTAATTAACACTAACCCAAAAATCGTCAGCTCTACAAATTTCAGCAAAGCAACGAAATATCTAAATTAATTAATTAGTTGATATTTTGTGCTTACTTTTTCTTAATCTCGCCGGCCATAGTCAAGAAAGCCTGCTCCACGTTGATAGAGTCTTTTGCGCTGGTCTCCAGGAAAGGAATCCCAAGCTCATCCGCAAACGCCTGCGAGTTAATCCAGTTGAAGAGTCAATCTATCGCTATTAAAGATAAATATACAGCATACATATTTACAATTTATTCGTAGCATTAAAAATGGAAAACAGCTGTATTCAGTGCACTTGCACAGTTTTTGTACGAGTGCAGTTCATCAGGTTTGTCCTAACACTCTCGTACAATGGTACGCATGGGTCTAATAACCTTAAACCTAAACACTGGCTTTGTGCCTATACATAGAAAGCACAATGGATAAAATCAAACAAAGGATTAAAAATTTAAAATAGAAGGAAAATGCATACGCATAAGTCATAACCGCCAGTAGATTTGTCAAATTCAGATATAATTCCAGTTTCAACATCTAATTCATTCACTGCTGACCCGCTGTCTTTTCTTGCTTCTTCAAAATTTTATTTTATTTTTTTAAGTCTCTGTGTGAGTGCGTGTGTGCATTTGCGTGTGTGGTTCTATTGGAGGAAGGTTAACAGAACTCGACATTCAGAATCTTGCTCCCAGAGATCATGCAGTGCCCATCCTCACAGCACGGGCTCAACAATATATTGTTCGTTGGCTGCATGGAAATTCATAAAGCACTTTTTTCCAGTGTATAATACACAAACTACAACCTACATGACCCATCTACACGAGAGCTATAAAAAGGAAAGGAGTTCGGAGAAAGCGATCTGAATGGACATATATAAGGATTCAAACAAAAGACTGTAACTGGAAGACTCTAACGACTGAACCACATTTCAAGCTGCAGTAACTCAATCCATTTCATCTTAATACAACATAATAACATAAATGGAGGTATTATATATAACATGTCAACATAACTATGAAGTTGAATGGAGATTGTTTGAACTTTAAACTCAGATTATTCTATATGACAAGGCAAATAAACTTAACCTTGACATGAAATAAGACACTTAAGCTTAAAAAAATAGCAAATATAGAACAAGAATTGCAAGAGAAAAAGATATTTCACCTTTGCTGTTTGAGTGTCCACAACTTTGCTTTCAACTAAATCACATTTGTTCCCAACCAAAAGCTTGCAAACACTGTCATTAGCATATCTATCTATCTCGTTCAGCCACTGCTTAACATTGTTGAAGCTCTCCATCTCAGTAACATCGTACACAATCTATCATAGTATAAGTAGGATTTCTCTCAGAAAACTGATAATGTAAAATAAATCTAAGTAGCTACCAGAGAATGGAAAAGATCTTAATGAAATATAAGGCTCGACAATCAGGTTTTGCGATAGTTCGTCGCAGAGCTAAAAGACCTTGAATAGAGGCAACACATATGTGACTTGCTGAAATGTCTGATACATGCATACAATGGGCCAAATTACAAACTCTTTTCAAAGTAAATACTTAATGAAAGAGCATTGCTGCAAAATAAATTGACAAATCAAAATGTGAACAAGCTAGGGAATACATACAAGGTCATTCTCAACTCCCAAATGATGCTAACTCTATTACATTGGACTAACACAGAACCATGCAGAAATTAAGTGCATGCTTGTTTACAAATTAATTTACTCACATTTAATTCATACTCAAAATCCAACTCAACTTTAACTCAACCCCACTATCCTCAATATTATTCATATAATTAAATAAGACAAATCAATCATTCTTACACATCACATCAACTTTAATTCACTATTCATCCACTCACATAATTTTAACTACCTATCATTCCCAATCATTTATCTCCTACTTTTACATCAAATCAATTTTAATCATTTTATTTTAAATATTATTTTAAAACATTCTTAAAATCCCACTAACTACTAACCATACCACCTTCCACCTTTTCAAAATTAACTCTGGTTAACCAAAAAAACTCATTTTGAGCGGATTATTTGACAAATAAGCGTGCCCTAACATTCTACAAGGCAGTTAAAGGACTTGTATAACAGGGAAAAACGATTGTGATTGTGCAGGTAGTTGTGAATCCAATGAATGTTCAATTCTTCGATTCATATAGTTATCCATAAAAGCCACATACAAAAAAAAAAATAAAACAAACAAAACAACTAGTATACGCTGGTAGTAAGAACCTCTTGCAACTCTAGAGGAACAAGATGGCAAATAATGCATGTATCATTGAAGCCACCAGAAGCAAATAGCCATACTGCCGTAGCATTAGCATCTATGATTACTTAGATCAAAATAAATGAGTAATTAGTCCAGCTATTAACATACATCATTAGATGAAATATATCAAAATAATGCAAGGAAATGTTTAACGCCCAAAGTGTATAAATCAAGTCTGCCAAACCATAAGCTCATGGTCGACAAAAGACTAAACATTTCATGAGCAAACTTTAATGGAGAATAAGTCATTCCAGTCCCCCAAAAAGAGTTATATGGAACCATACCAAGACGCTATCTGATCCATTGCTCTATGAATAGTGCAATAAACTTAAAGAAAATATAGCAGCTGTAGATAATGATAGAACAATTGAATACAGGAATTACTATGTCGAATATGTCTTACAATGATCCCATGAGCTCCTCGATAATAACTGCTAGTGATAGTCCGGAATCGCTCCTGGCCAGCAGTATCCCACTGGAATGCAATAGAATAAACCATTGACTTAACCCCAATAACTACTGAGCCAATTTGTGGTAGAACAAGACAGAGCTCCCATAATTTGTGGATACAAGAATAAATTGTTGCTTATAAGTTATATATGTACCAACATGTCAAGACTTGAAATTTTTGGGGTATGAGAATTGTACCAAAATGCCATAATTTGTATATAACCCTATTCTCGAAGCATACATTCTCAAACACCTGAAACATCTTTAACATTTGCCTAAAACTGCCTGGGTGGTTGCACAAAGGCACACATGGATAAGGTGTTTTTCACAATAGATATAAGTCTTGTGTTAGAAGAATATCAAATTTGAATTGCCACAGCCCAGATGTGAACTCTTATAAGTCAATGAGATAAGGAATTCTCTTAAATCATATTGCACCAATGAGATTCTACCGAGATTTGTATGAACCACTGATACCATTATTTCAGTTTAAAGGGCATTGCCATGAAATTACATCCATGGATGTACCAAATTAAACAAAACGCTAAGCGCAATTTGACATAAACACCAAACCCAATCAGATATTTATCCATCTGAAATAGTAGTATATCTAAGTTGACTTACAATTTGCAACTTGCTTGTCTTCCCATCTATCTCAACTGTCCTAATTTTCTGCAATAACAAATAACCACGACACAGTCATGTTACTGGTAAACTCCAGGTACCAATTTGACCTAATAAGTTTGTCTGATAACCATCAAAACACAGAGAAGAGAGAATGGCAAAACTTACAAAATCAACACCAATGGTGCTAATGTAACTGTCCACATATGAATCATCCTAGAGTAATCCATCAATCAACATTAGTTCCATTTAACAGAAAAAAATAAAATAAAATAAAATAAAACCGGATAAAGTGGAAGGGTAAAAGAAAACCCACAAGACTACAACATAATCCTGGAAACAGAAACAACTATACCAAAAAAGAAAGTGCAATCTGCAATAACATACAGCAAATCGGAGAAGAAGACAAGACTTGCCGACAGAGGAGTCGCCGATTAGAAGAAGCTTGAACAAATAATCACTACCAAAAAAAACACAAAAAAGAAAGAATTAAAATAACACATAAAAATAACACGCACAAAATTTAGAATCATGATTTGTATAAATTTTTTCTTACTATTCGCTGCTCATGTTTCTTTTGATTTGGTTTTTCGCTTGTTGATCGTGGAGAAAGGTTTTCCTTTTCTGCTGTGCGACCGATGAGGTGAGGTTTTGAGCATGGATCAACACACGGTTGCGTCTGAATATAAAAGAAAAAAAAATTGTTTAAATAAATATGATTGAATAGAATAATTAATACTATACAACATGAAATTTTATAAGTTATATTTGCGTGTATATTATTTTAAACTAGTACAGAACCTTTGCGATGCACGGAGTGCACAATTTTAAGGCTATTTATCTAGGCTTATAATTATATACATGAATAAAGAAAAATGTACGGGATATATATAGTATGTGCGAATCACGAGATATATTTAATTGGAGAATATTATATTATAAGGTGCAATATTCAATAAAAGTTTATAATACGCAAAAAATTGTACAATGTTCAATAAAAGTTTTATAATATTCAAGTGGAGTCTTAAAGTCTCTTGTACATTAAGACTACTGACAAAATAATATTTTAATCAATGAGTTACTTTCCTTGCAGACTACTGACAAAATAATATTTTAATCAATGAGTTTCCTTTCCTTCCAACCAAATTGTGAATGTGATTTGAGGAGTACAACAAATCGATATATAGCTGACTTGCTTTTTTCATTGTAGTTTTTTTTTTCTTTTTTTTTTATAATGAATTTAAAGATATTCTAAAATATAGCAAAAAAAATAATTTTTTTATTACAATTAGGAATTTTACTAAATATAAACTCTCAATCTATGGTGTTAATCAACGTTTAAGTCTAAAAATTTAGGAATTTTTACCCCTTTTAATCAACGTTTAAGTCTAAAAAACAATAGAGTTATTATAAGTTTTTTTTCTACATCTTTTAAAACATTAAATATGAGCATGTTAGGGCTAACTTGTAAAATAATTAATATATTATCTTACTAAAATATTTATACTAATAAAAATTTAATTTTAGCATATATATTTATCCCTTAATATAAGAGAAAGTAACAGTTTTACTTATTGTTGTTCACCATATAATATTTAATTATTATTTTATTATATAATAAAAAAATATTGTTAAATAGTGTAGTAGAATTGTTATAAAATTATATGAATGTTTTTTTTACAATAAGGATTTAATATTTTTTTATGATTTGATAATATAAACAAATCTATACTTAACTTTGACAAATAAAACAAATAAATACTTTAGTAAGTATTTAATGTATATACTAAATAGGAATATATTTGCTATAATCAAATACCAAATATAATCAAATAAGTCAAAGTGTACATTTTTATTTGGTATTTGATTTTTTTATTATTAAAATCTTTTTATTATACTTACCTTTTTAAAATAAAACAAATCAATAAATTAATTAAATAAATAAAACATTATAATACCAAAATAGTAATGACATTTAATGCAGTTGACTTTTCTGAATAGTAAATGTAGTAAATAGAATATTTTTTTATATAGTATAATACGGAAATAGTAATGCAATAAATGCTGTTGATTTTCTGGCTACTTAATTTGATAAATAGTATCCCCTTTAATATAAGTATAGATTATAAGTTATTAGATAATAAACATCTCACATCTTATAAATTTTATTATTATTAAAAATAATTATGTAAATACAAACTATCTAACTTACATATAAATCAATATAGCGTTGCAATAAAACCATGACCTTTTGTGGAATTGCAAATAAATATTCTACTTTCGTAATTTCTTGCAAAATTTGTCTCTAAACCACTTTTCGGCCAACTCCGAGCTGACATATCCGACCAAAATGCTTATGTGGCTCTTATGTACTGAACCAATCATCGAACAGATGAAACTACCGGTTCAATGGTTCATTGCTCGGACTGGTGGTCGAACCGGTTTAATAATATATATAATTTTTTATTTATTTTATATGAATAATATATAATTGTATATATTTTTTATCATTAAATTTACAGTGTATAATGACATTTCTCTAAATAAAAGTTCATAATAGATACAACCCACGGTGTTGCATAATGTTGATAACTTTTTTTATTTTATTTTTTATAGTGTAGTCTATATTTAAGCTACATAATTGAGATAATAGACCCATGTTTGTATTTTAATTTTTAAATTAGATTTTATGTTTTTATTCTTTTCAGTTTTTCTTTAACGAAAATCATAAATATAACTATTCATAGTATATATATATTTAAAAGAATTGTAATAAGATGTGTAAATCACACGTTGACTAAATGAAAGAAATGAGATTTTTTTATTAAATTCTAAATAACTTGAGCCATAGTTAAAAATGAATAATATTTTTATTAAATTCTAAAATAAATATAGTAATAGTTGAAAGATTCCAAAGTATTTGTCGTTATATCTACCAAATTTCGTAAGTCTATTGGAAACTAAAAGTAATTTTGAAACGTAATTGAAAATAAAAAAGAAAGTATGACTTTAAACTTGTATGAGACTATAAATAATTTCGACAGAAAATAAAAACTTAAAAGATATTATATTGCTTAACTTATATGAATTTTGTATATTATAATTTTATATTATAATAAATATTGCACATTTAGAAACAGCAAACAATTATTTTAAGAAAAAAATGAAAACTCAAAATAAGCTTCATGTCCTAATAGCATTTCTCAGCCATTAGATATAACCTGTTCTCATAACCCACAACCTAAAGTGTGGAAGAGATCCTCATCCAGACTTAGCAGACTTCAAAGATAGGGAAGTAGCACTCCAACCAAGGAGGACAGTAAGCAAGCCAAGAGAACCAGAGACACATCAGATGAAGCCAAAGGGGAAGATAGTCCTAGCAAGGAGGTTCAGGAGGAGAACAAAAGGCAAAAAACAGAATATCAGCAGGTGGGGGTGGCCAGCCTCGAATGGCACCCAAGTGATCAATGTTAGCTGCGGTGTGGAATTGTAGAGGGCTGGGTGGGCCCTCTACAATTTCCCAAATCAGAGAGACCATTAAGGCTCACCACCCTGTTTTCTTTTTCATTTCAGAAACAAAAAAAAAACAAGTGGCTTTGTTAAGTCAATAGTAAGAAATTAGGGTATGATGATAGATTAGCTTTTGTGGACCCAGTAGGATTAAGTGGGGGCCTTCTTCTTTTTTGGGATTCCAATGTAAATATTATTCAAGTAATAAAAAAATCTTTCTATATTGCTGTTGAATTTGTTTTGGGAACAACCCAATCTCAATGGGGCATATTTGTTTATCTAAGTACCTGCAAGCAGATTAGAACTTCCCAGTGGGAGGAGATGATTGTAGACAAGGACCAATGGGGCAATAGCTGGTTTACATTAGGAGATTGGAATGATCTAAGGACTGCAAACGACAAAGCAGGGGGCAACAAGAGGAGCAGTAGGAGTTTAATAGGGTTCAATTCCTTTATAAACACCATGGCCATGGATGAACTACCAATGTTGGGTTATCAATACACTTGGTGCAACATGAGGAGTGGAGAAGGAATGGTGGAGGAGAAATTGGACAAAGCATTTGCTTCCATGGACTGGACTCAAGCCTTTCCAAATGCCACTGTGTTAAACAAGGTCAGAAGCTCATCAGACCACTCTCTTTTACTTTTGAACATGGGACAACAACACAAGAGAACATCAAGATTCCACTTTGACAAGAGGTGGATAGGGATGGAAGGGTTCAAGGAAACAGTAAAAGCAGCATGGGCTCAGCATACTGAAGGCACCCCTTTCTACAGGCTTAAAGAGAAGGTTAAGAAGACAAGGGCAGCTCTATTAATCTGGAGCTCTAAACACAAAACCCTGAACCAACTCAAGATTGAAAGCTTATCCAAAAGGCCAGAAACCTTGAGAGAAGACAAAACAGATACTACTGGGATCAGTGGAACACCACTAGGAAAGAGCTTAATGCAGCCCACAGACAGGAAGAACTCTACTGGCAGCAAAGGTCAAGGCTGAAATGGATAAAGGAAGGAGATGGCAACACTAAATTCTTCCATGTATATACTCTTCAAAAAAGGAAGCAGAATGCAATCTCCAGACTTATCACAGCTCAAGGTGCAGTTCTTACTTCTCAGAAGAATATAGAAGGCCATATCTCAAACTTCTATTCTGACCTTTTCCACACTGAAGGAAGTTGGGACGGGGAATCCATCATATACCTAATCCCCAAAACCATCTTTGAAGACATGAATGTAGATTTATTGAAACCAGTTACTGAAGAAGAAGTGAAAGCAGCTCTCTTCTCTCTACACCCAGACAAGTCACCAGGTGAAGATGGAATGAATGCATTGTTTTATCAACATTGCTGGAACATTATCAAAGCTGATGTCTTAGAGGCATTGCTCAGTTTCTTCCATTCTGGTATGCTCCTGAAGTACTGGAATCACACCATCTTGTCCCTTATTCCAAAAGTGCCGCAACCAGAAAACTTGAGCCAATTCAGGCCCATCAGCCTCTGTTGTGTGATTTACAAAACCCTGTCCAAAATACTGGCTCAAAGACTAATGACCTGCCTCAACTGCTGCATAAGCCCTCACCAATCTGCCTTTGTGAAAGGAAGGCAACTAATGGACAACATCATCATAGCCCAGGAAGCCTTTCACTTCCTCAACAGACATTCTACAGGGCCAAATTACTTCATGGCACTGAAGTTGGACCTTATGAAGGCATTTGACAGGGTAGAGTGGCATTGTCTACAAAGGATCATGACTCAAATGGGCTTCCACTCAGACTTCATCAAGTTGATAATGGTTTGTGTTTCAACCTCATCGATTTCCTTTAAGGTTAATGGCAATGTGAGTGGCTACATCACACCATCAAGAGGGATCAGACAGGGGGACCCCTTGTTCCCCTACCTATTCATAATAATAGCTGAATTACTATCAGCCCTGATCACAAGCTCACAACAGCAAGGGCATATTCATGGTCTCAAACTTTCAAGGAATGGTCCTGCTATCTCTCATTTGCTATTTGCTGATGGCTCATTGCTATTCAGCAAAGCAGGGGTTGACCAAGCCAGACATCTCTTAACAATTCTAGAAAAATACAGGCTCTTCTCTGGTCAGAGAGTGAATTTGCAGAAATCAGGAATATTCTTCAGTAGAAACACTCCACAAACTCTGAAAGATAGAATTTGCAGTGTCCTCCAAGGAATTGTCCCT